CGAGGGCTGCACCGCGGCGCCCGGGTGAGTGAGGCCGCTGCGTGGCCGGGGGTTCGGGCTGCGCGGAGCCCTCGCGACTCGCGACCACACTCCTGTGCCCTGCCCCGCGGCGCCCCCAGCGCCCTCTGTGCCCTCGCCTCCCTCGCTCGCGTCGCCCCGGGCCATTTCTTCCCCCAGCCCCTCTTCCCTTTCCCTTGGCTCTCAGCCCCCAAGTTCCAGCCACCCTTTCTGCACAGACCCCTGGACCTCAGCGGAGCCCCGAGCGTGGAGGTGCGTCCCAGCCCCACGGTCCGACGGGCTTCCCCCCGGAGTCCCCACTGCCACCCTCAATGCGGCCGACGCTGCCCTCGGCTCCCGGCCTGAGCGCACGCGCGCGGCGCTGGGTTTGGTTCTCCGCGGCCCCCAGAACCGCAGGACTCCTGTCCTCAGAGCCCCGCGTACAAGGCGCGGGAATTTGGAGTCAAGACTGGAGGACTGTAGTGCTGGTTCTGTCCCCAGCTGCTTCACTTCGTCTTTCTGAGCCTTCGTGTCTCCATCTGTGAAGCGGGGAAAACGTCCTTGTTGCCGACGGAAAGCGAAGAAGAGATGTGTGAGAAGTGGAGAGGGACTTTTTACCGAGCTCCCACTCCTCGGGGTATCGGCTGCTTTAGCTACAGCGTGTCTGATTGCTGGTTCTTTTGCACTTCTCTCTGCCCGGTTTCTGGAGTGTAGGGGTTGCCTGTCTACTGTAGTCTTTATCTTTGAGGCAACCTCAGCTCTTGGCGCACAAGGCTTGGCAAATACAAAGTGCTCAATACGTGCTGACTGAATGAAAGGATGAAAGGTGGAAACCATAAAAACGTGTGGAAATGTCAAGAATAGTTATTCTGATGGAGTGACCAGGCTGGACTCCTGTTCATCCAGCTCCCAGGGTTTCTTCCTGACCAGCGGAGCCTGCTGGCACCTGGGGCTAATGGTTCTCGATTGTAGACAGTGAATACCAGACTCCTCAAAGCTCCAGCCTGCAGCCCGGGAAGCTGCTCAGTCATTCCTCGACCATCTGCCGGCCTCTGGTGCCACTGCAGTGGGTAAATAGTCCAGAAGGAGTGTGCTTACCTGGTTGGGGCTGGGGTGGGAGGCCGGTGGGGAGAACAGTTCTCTAGGGATCCAAGGAGAGCCTGAGTTATTTCTCCTCTCTGGATCTCATCTTCCCCATCTGCAAAGTAAGTAAGTAGAGGGGGTGTTTGTGGGTGAGGGTGGCCTCCTCTGGGTGTTGTGCAGTCGCTCACGAACTGTCTGAACACACGCGAGCGTAAGGACAGCATGTACCTCTGCACTGAGAACCCAAGAAGCCAAGAAGTGTTTTTCCATTCCAGCAGAGACCTCCTGTCTCCAACCACCCTGGGTTTGTAAATTATGGTGGAGTGAGTAGACACTGAGCTCTTGGAGCTGTGGGGTCCATTGCACAAAAGGTCTGGGAATTCCCCTTCTTTGGTGTAGTCAGAACCACAGAGCTTTGGTGAGGTGTCAGAGACACAAAACAGAGACTGTGGGGACTGTGGCTGAGTCAGACACTGGGCCCATGGGTGACAGACAAAGAGGTTAAGGGGTCAGTCACAGCCTCAGCTGCTTTCCCAGCTGTCTTCTGCTCCTTCTCTATAAATGTGTTTCTGCCCCTTCTCTATGGATTGAAACTTACAAATGAAGGAAGTAGCTCCAAGGGGAGGATATTTTTATTTTGGTTGATATTACATGGCCACTTTTGGCAGTGCAAAGATAGATCCAAGCGTTCCCACCCACAATTTATAGGAGTAGGGGTTGACATGGCCACAGCCTGCAGCCCTCCTCCCAGACTGGCCAGGTATGCTGAATAATGGAATAATGATCTTACTGGGCACCAGTTAAGTGTGTACTGTGAGCCATTTTACATGCATTCATTAATTTAATCTGTGATATGGTCTTGTTAGAGAGGGGCTATCATTCTCTCCATTTAATACAGTATTTGAGAAAACTGAGCTTCGCAAAGAGAAAGTGACACACCCATGATCACAGGAAGTGGTGGAGTGAGGTACAGGTGTAGTCACCCAGGTAGGCTGGCTCAAGTATACTAGTGGGTTACTAGGAACCCTAGTCCTCTAAGGTGACTCTCGAGAGAACAGAGTGGTAAAGGCTAAGTATTGAGCAGGTCAGAGTTAAGAGTTGTTTGGCGTATTAAACAACAGCAAGCCAAATTCAAACTGTGTTCTTTAAATTGCTTGATTGTATACAGAGGCTGGGTGTGGCGGCTCACTCTTGCAATCGCAGCTGCTCAGGCTGAGGCCAGGAGTGTGACAACTCTGTGAAACCCAAATGCTAAAATGGTCTGATCAGTGATGCAGCACTTGCTAGCATATATAAGGCCCTGGGTTCAATCCCCAGTATGGAAAATATTTGCTTGGTTGTGTATACATGTAGCTTTCTTATTTTGAGGGTCTAATTTGCTGATTAGATATGTGACTTGCTAATGACTCACTACATAGGTTCAGGGAGAAGGGGGAAGAGGAGGGAGAAGGAGAGACAGAGAAAACTAAACTGGTTTTCCCAGATCTTTCATTTAATGATGACAGATACCTGGCACACATGTCACTAGTCCTGATCCTTGTCCCAGACAGACATCTGACATCCACAAGGCTGGGGAATCCTTAACCCAGTCCTCTGAGCAGCTTCTACCGATTGACCCTGGAGCTTTGTTTTCTAGACTTGCCGCTTCGTTCCTCTGGGGTATAGTCAGGGAAGTAACAAGTGGTACAACAGGAGACCTTTCTGCTCAGTGCCCATAGGTGGTAGCTTAGAAAATACCCTGGAGGCTTTTTGATTACTTTTTCTTTTACTCTTTGCTGTTCTTTCTTTGATGGCCTTCAAGTCCTGCCTGTCCTGGAACTGGGGACACGGCAAGGGGCAGAGGCAAGTATCAGAAGAGTGGTCAGTCTTCCAGAGTGAGGCAGACCCTCGGAAATCAACTTGTCCATTCCTTCCAAATGCCTGACAACAAAACAGAGGTCCAGTCAGAAAGAGTGATTTACTCATGGTCACACCATATGTTTGTTTTCTAATGCAGGTGTAACAACTTAGTATTGCTTAAATGTAGCAGTTTTAAACCTTTTTAACTCAGTTATAGTTCTGTGGCTTAGAATCCACAAGAATAAGTGAGTGTCACAAGAATAAAATCAAGGTGTCATCAGGTTGCTTTTGTTTTGGGAAGTACTAATGGAAAACCAGTTTCCCTCTTCTCTGAATTGCTGGCAGAATTTACTTCCTAGGGTTGTGAGCCCAAGGCCACCGCTTTCTTGCTGACGGTAAACACAGGGCCATTCTCTGCCTCTGGAGGCTGCTGCTTTCCTTGGCTCTTAGCTCCCTTCTTCCGTCTTCAAACCAACATCAGGGAACCAGCCTGTCCCATCTCTCTGACCCCTCTTCTGCCTTCCTCTTCCTTAGTAGGGGTTTAGATGATTAGGTTCGGCCCACCTGGATAATCTAGGGAGCATCTCGAAGTCCTTAGTTTTAATCCCATCTGTAATGTCCCTTTTGCCTGTGTGCTCAGGGCTCTGCTTTCTGAATCATGCTTCCTTTTTCCATACTCAAGGTTGGGGGACCCAGGAGATGGACATCTTTGGCGGGGAGTGGTGGTGGTGGTGATGGTGCTGGTGGTGGTGTTTCTGCCTGTCATTCGCATGAGGCTCTCTGTGGGAGCGCGACTGCCTCAGGGCATGGCACCAACACCCTAGTGTTCCTGCAGCTTTATCACCGAGCCTCCTGCAGTCCCTCTCTGGAGCGTCTCCTTTGTCCCTCCAGCACACAGCAACCCTTAGCCACTGCAAATAATGATGGAAGGTAGTATCTTAAGCAGAATGCCATGGATTTGGCCCGAGTGTTTTTTTTTTTTTTTCTTTTGCTGGCTCTCTCTTGGTTTTTGAGATGTGATTGGCTTTCAGATGGCATGTGTCATCTTGAGCAGTGCTGGCTTCAATTTTCATCCTTTGAAACAAGTATCGTGGTGCTTTTCTATTTTTTTCCAGCCAAGGAAGAACAGGTAGAAAGTTAGGCAGGGAATGTCTTTAACCCATTAGAAATTTTGGAGGAGGAAGGTATTTGTTGGGGTGAAATGGAATAGTATTTCTCAGGGACCTTGGGTCATCAGAGAAAGGCCTCTGGTTGGATTCATTTCACCATCCATTTTTTCTTCTGGCCCTTTTCCTTGGAACAAATGTCCCTGGTGGGATGAGTATATGCTGACCGGCGAATGTTTGAGGCTAAGTGTTACACAATGGGAAGAGAGCTATTTCCAAGAGTAAATGTGAGGTTGGGACATCCTTATACTGGAGTTGGCATAGGAAACCTGCCTCCTCTTTTGTCTTTCTCTCTACCCTCTTCTAAGGACAGAGAAAGAAAGGTTCACAACTTGGGAAACACATCTCCCCAGACCCCCAGCTTCTGCATATAGGGAATCAGAATTAAAATTTGAGCTCTTCAGCCCAAGCAAGTCAACAAGAGGGAGTCCTAGAGGGCTTTTTTTGTGAAAGGCCAGTCTTCTGCCTGGTAGGTGCAGGGTGGGCTGGAAAAGATGAGACCCCTTTCCCAGTTCTTCAATATAGAGAGAGCCCAGAAAATGATGAAATCAGAGGTTGTCATTTTGTTTTGGCGATGTGATTCTGACTTTTGCAGTCGTTGAGGTTTCTGGAGGGATAGAATGCTTTCTGGATGTCTTCTGCTAATTAAGTTCCATGAATTGAGCTTGGATCTGAGATATCCAGTCTCATGTTCATTCTTCCACTGACCTCATATTTACTGGCATTTACAGTGTGATCGGTGCTGAGGATGCATTAATAAACAAAATATGAGCTGCTGCTGTCTGTGTGCTTACATCTGAGAGGTCAGAGGAACAAATCTTCAGCCTGTTAGGAATAAAAGCCAGTAAAAACAAACAAGTAATAAACAAGCAAGTATTAGATTATGAAAACGTGTGACAGAGTGTGGCTGGCAGGTGAGGAGCAGTAGCTTGATAGGGTAGATCTGGAAAACTTCGGAGTGTAACATTTAAGATGATGTCTTGGATGCTGAGACAAGGGGTGGGGTCCGTTCTAAGCATTCTCAGCATCCTAAGGAGAGGGAACAGCAGCCGTAGAAGTCTTCAGTGGGATCAAGCAGGGGACAAAGGCCATTTGGTGCTCAGGCTGAAGGTGGTTAATGGGGCCTCTTCTGGAACACGGGCTGCTCTCAGTCTATTCTGAATGTTTCATTCTTCCTTGGAAATTTGAGCAGCTTCTGCAGATAGAATCTGAGAAAGGGTCCTGAATGGTGGATGGTGCCCTGAACAGTTGGCCTCATGGTTCATGTTCTGCAAGATGCTCCAAGAGTCTCACATTTTCAGACACGCCAGCGCAAGTGACTCACAGATGGTGCTTGCTGCCTTGTCTGTGGCCTGATGTCTAATGGAAAGGAAACAGCAGCAGCACCATGTGCTCAGAGCTCCGGCAGTGCTGGACTAGGGCCATACCTGCAGGACGCCACCTGCCTCTGTCTGCCTTTTCCTCCCACTTTGAGAAGATTAAGCTTGCCTGCTAGCAGGAAGTCATTTCTTTAATGCTTTCTTCCTCAATAGGCTGCTTGGCGGTAAAACCGGTTGGATAACCATTGGCAATCTCTCAAAAGTTAACTGTTAGCTGCAGCTCAAATGTGAAGGGTGTGCTGTTTCCAGAGGAAGTCCAAAGTCGGGACAGACATCAAAGGCTGTTTGCTTATGAGACTTGTCACTGTTTCTTACACTGGGCTCAGCTCTAGGGCATTCATGCCACCCTAATTAGTAGTAGGGCCTTTGAGCCTCTTCAAGGATTCTTTTCTCTGTGTTCTATGAAACCCTCCCTATGTATAGCAGGCATTGTCTTGAGTGTTAGTGTTAACCTGTTTTCTGTTGCTATAAAAGTACCCAAGATAATAAACTTATAAAGAGAAAAGGCTGACTGTGACTCAGCGTTTTGGAGGTTCCAGCTCATGACTGATTGTCCCTGTAGCTTTTGGGCCATAGGGAGGGAGAACATCGTGGCAGGAGCAC